AAAATTCTTTGCATCACTACCTTCATTAATGGCTTTTTTTAGTGCTTTTTTGTGTCAGCATAATTTTCCAACTTAAAAGCTAAATTTGATGGAATTTTTGTTCTGAGAAATCAAATTTATAGGATCTGAATATTTTAGGAAGAAAATATGAAATTCATTGCTTAGAATTATTCTCTGTTTTTAATCATTGATCGCAGAATGCTTAGACCTATTTTAGATTTAAAGATTTTAAGTTGCTTAAAGATACGATCTTACAATGTTACAGAAACAGTAAAACCGGATAGAAAAATTCTTGTCCTCTGTACTCTAAGCAAATACTCGAATAATCTATAGACTGAGGAATTATTTACTCTTTGCTTATATATATAAATCAAAATATCTTTACCCTTTATTTACAGTGAGAGTACAAGCTGCAAAAAATACCTGAAGAACGAAATTGAATTCCTTAAAGAAATAATAACAATTCAGTTAGTGGGAAGTAATTTTTAATATTTGGATATAGGAAAGTAAATGCTTCTTGTCTCTTGTAATATAGCATTTTCACTAAATAAAGCTTTCAAGAAGACTTGTGCTTTTTGTGTAGTTGAGGGAAATATGATTGTTTTCCTCGTAATCATACATGCTTTGTAAGAAACGCTACTTCACCTATGTGGTTATAAATATATAAATATGTGCATGTAATTTTAAACTTGCTAAATATTTTTAGTAGCCTTTTATGATTATGCGAATTATTTTTATCTTGCTATCCATATTATTACTGTGCATTTTTTTAAACCTTTCAATGTAAATATCCTTAAGAATATGTATTTAGCTGGTGTTTCAATTATTTGATATTTTACATTTCTCTAATACATTTGGTTGGTTTACAGCATATTATAAGCACATGCTCAATTTTTTAAGCATTTGTAATAACCGTGTTCATTTTCACATAAAGAACTAAATATAGTTTAACTTAAATTTTTAAATAGTTTTTATTTTGATGAAAAATATATAAGTCAATACAATAAATAGAAGTGACTGATTTAGATTAGTTTGGGTGTAGTAACCAATAAAAATAATATAATAAAATTAAATTTGCAAATTGAGCAAAGTAAGAATAAATACTTTTAATTATACGTATCATTTGAAAGCCTTTATAGTAATAAAAAATTCTGTATAATTGATTCCAGTTTTTAATTTCTAACATTGTTTCTAATGGAAGTTATACATTTTTTCGGAGAATTTAATTAACTTTACTGAAAAGCTAATATAAATTAAGTTTAAAAACCATAAAAAGTATTTGAAAAGAGAGAGAGAGTGTGTGTATCTGGAGTATATATATTACAAAGACTTTTTTTACTACTAAAGAGTTCTGAGTAAAAAAATCTTGTAGCTTCAAAATGTTGAAATAACGGAAGATGATTTTAAAAATAGAATATGAATTTGTGTCTCATACGTATCATATGTGGTTGTGGTTGCCGAGTGGTTATGGCAGGCGTTATTGAGTCATGGATTCGATTCCTGATGTCAATGAAGACCTGTTGTGTATGCGGGTTGATGCACGTTAAATCTGTTGAGGCTCAATGTGTGTTTTCACGTTGGTGTGGATGTTCGAAGAGTGGGGTGCTATCTCAGTTGTCGTGTTCGTTACCTGACCACAGTTTAAATTTACGAGGTCTGTTCCTAATAGCCATCGAGTAGTTTCTGAATAAGTTCATAATAATCAGAAAAATGCTATATATTTGAACTATTATCTGCAATTACTTGTACATAACGAAGCAGTAAGAACAATAAAAATGTGATCACATTCAGAATAAGATTGGGTGTTAATGTTTTAAAATTCTGAAAAAGAATTTCTAATGAGAATAGAGACTACATCTCTAGTAAAGTTTTTCTTTATTGATTTGGTATTTTCTTAAAACAAGAGAAAATAACAGAACAAAAATAATAAGTAATTCAAATCAAATTCTTTTTAAAATATTATTTTCACCTAAATTAAGCCAAAAATTAATTTATAAACTCAAGAGAAAAACATTTTTTTTATCAATAATAATTCGAATTGCTAAATTTTATTTATTGCTGTTAAACATTTTTCTTCCAATCCAACATTTTTCTAATAGACAGAGCAATCTAAAATTGAAATATAACGCAAAGAAAGTATTTCTTTGCTTTTTATGAGGTAAAATAGTGTAACATTTATTATATTTTCAACCTTTATTCTTCCCAAATTATGCCGTATCATGGAAATACTTAATTAGAAAGACGCTCATGTTTATTATTGTAAGAAATAAGTGGTTTCAATAAATAATAAATAAATAATCTAAGTTTCTCAAAATTTACTAATTAAGCAGGATACAATATTAGGCTCATATATGTATTAGCGTTGTTAAAATTGCGTGCGGCTATCAAATGTTATCACTGTTGGCTGCGTAATTTGGAACGACGCCACGTAATTTGGTTCTTGTTGCAGTATTAGGTTTTCCGTAAAAATGATCAAATTATGGTAATTTTACCTTCTTAGAGTTCGTGCCTTTCTTTTACTTGTTTCTTTAAGGTGTTTTTATGCTTAGCTTTTTTATGCTGCTGGCTACAATGTTTTTCTTTCAACATAGGATGGCGTTTTTCAGAAAAAATATTTTCTTTAAATACTGAATAAAGTATATTCTTAATTCAAGACTATAATTAAATGTGTAAAATCGTTAATTCTTTAAATTATTTGATTTCATGTTCACTTCTATCTAAATTATTTATTGTCTTACCTACCATAATGTGTAAATATAGCATGAAAAATATGAATACACTTTTTGTTGGATGGTTATGGCAAATATTAAAATGTTTCTCTGTAGTAAGTACAATAAAATCATCTACAGAGTATAATCAGTACATTAAAATTAAGAATTTAAAACTGAATTCCATGGACACATGGAATTGGAACTATAATGCTTATTATTTTGTAAGTTATCTTGTATTTTTCTTTACTTTTTTCATTTTTGTGTTATTTTGTTATTGTTGTTTTTCTGTTTTGCACTTTATAATCTTGTATATTATATCTCTTAGGTAAATTTTAAGAGCATTATTGCAGCTTTTCTTATTTAAGCTTATTTTTTTGAAGTTTTTTAAATAAAAGAATTCCCTTTTATGATTTTGTTAGTATATCGTACATTTCCCTCTTGCATACGAGTAACGCATTCAAACAAATACAACTCTAAATTGCCTTCTGTAAAGGTAATTAGCAATAAAAAGTCTCTATTTTGATAAATTTGGAAACGCACAACCCAACTTAGTATATTTTTCTTGCAAGTGTAATAGTTTACAGCAGTGCTTCATTTAATATTGTTTGAATGTGTTTATTATAAGTAAGAATTGATTTAGAATTTCGGCTACATGATATTTTCTTTTGAAAATAAGAAAAAAAAATCTTATTATAGAAGTGATATAGTTGTAGAAATTGATTGGGAGCTATTTGTACCAATTTTTTTTGCTTAGAATGTAAAAAAAAAATCGATTGAATGAATTCTAACGAAGATTTAATGTTCAAAAATTGATTAAATGTTCGAGTTATTTACCTAGAATATATAACTACGAACAATTGAACTGTAAATTATTATAGATAAAAGCACTTTTAGACATATAAAAGATTTACATCACTTCATTTACTTGTTTTCCGTCAATTTCTTTGATTTAAACAAAATTATTTCAGTTTAATGCTGATTTTTATGTGATTAATTATTAATGTTGAAACGGGAATATGTTTTATAATATTAAAGTACTTTAACTTTTGTTTGATTGCATTGCATTTTAAGAGGCTTAAAAATATTTTTAAAAGTTATATTTTATATACACATTAACGGATTGTCTAGCTACTCGTTTGACCTGTATTTTTCTTAAAGCTATTTCAAAGCATAATGGTTTCTTTAATATATAAATTAAATATTTTAATACTTTAACGTAATGCTTTGGAGTTAAAAGGAAAAATAACACTTATTAGAAGAATTTTTCAAATTGATTTAATTTTCCGTATTAAAATCGCATTTCAAAACTACACAAGGGGGGTTATTGGTGAGGGATCTTGTTATTTCGATCCAGGGTTAAATGATGAGGACAACTCTTAAGCTGGTACCCACTCTCTAAAAGGACTTCTAAGTGATTTCTATTGTATGTATAAAACATGTATAAAATATTTGTCAATTAAATAAATATATGTATATAAAGCAAATTATTTTATCAGAACTTCTTCACTGCAGTTGAATCACAGATGATATTTTGGTTCAATCCATAGATAAAAAGGAATAAATCTTTTCTTATGAAATGTGCATTAATGAAAAAATACGTAATAGATTGTTTGAGTTAAAGTCATTTTACATAATTTAGAGTATATAGAATCACACGCCTAATAATGACCTAATAATAGTCAGATGACTCGAAGGGCATCCGAATTACTGTCTCACTTTCTAAGCTTACACTTTACATTGTGTGAAAATGTAATGTGATGTACAACCATGACTGTAATCCTGCACGACGATCTATTGTTACGTAAACATCTATTGGCCGAATCGTTCGCAAAAGGTTTGGCTCGTAAATGTATGCACACTCTTGAGGTAAAAAAAAAAAAAAAAAATTGCCCGTGAATCACCTCCTGTTAGTTTTTCGATGAACACACAAAGAGAGTACAGAAGAGGGGATTTTTTTAGGGCCAATTTCCAGAACGTGCAGGTGGGATGACGTGTTTTTGGTGATTCGAGGTTGGTTCGTTCTTTTTCAATTCCTATTATTAGTTCACCCTCTCCCTATATTTATTTAATTATATATCTTGTTCAAATTTTCAGTCGTTAATAAAATACTTTTTATTCATCCACTTTAGTTCAAATACATTTTTTTAAAAACTTGTAGTGGATGGCACTTGATGTTAATACAGTTTTTCAAATATTAATTCATTATATCTATTTAATTAATGAATAAATAGTAACACACAAAAGTAATAGTCCAACACGATATATAGAAAGGAAAATCGCGCTCGTTGTGTACATGTAGCGCAGTGGATAGCGCGTTGGCCTTCTATTCCAAAGGTCGTGGGTTCAAATCCCACCTGGTATGATCTAATTTCTGAGAATGTGACTTTTTTTCATTATACTATTTTATTGGAATAATTAAGTTTAATTAATGAATAAATAGTAACAAAAAAAAATAATAGTCCAACACCATATATAAAAGGGAAAAAGGAAAATCGCTTTCTATTTTGCAACTTGGTATTGTGATTCTGTCATATGTATATACATATTTATATTAATTGTTATTATTTAATAAAAAGTAATTAAAATAAAATTTTTCTTTGTTAACCTAAGTAGGAATTGACTTAATTTTTTTAAAAATATTATTTCCACACACATATGTTCGCTGTGAAAATAACTACACTGAACGATTTATGAGCGACTTGCGAATAGTTCAGCTGGGAAAAAGTATACAAAACTTTAAATGTGGCATCAGTGCTTGAAATGAAGATTCGAATTAGATATTTTCTTACTCTTCGAAAAGTAGTTAAAAGTTAGTTTGAAGAGCTTTTAACTACTTGACTAGTACGGCTCTGTAAAATGAAAGGAAGATATTTTTAAAGAAAAAGGAGATCCCTAATTTTTTTTAAATGTATATTTTTTTCGCTGACTTGAGAGAATAAAGAATACTTTCATACCATTCCCTAATGTAATTATTTCTCAATGAATATGTTTTTAAAAAATCTGCTTTTGAATTAATCAGTCTGAGTGAGTGTTTGCTACTTAGCACTCTGAAGTAACTCGAGATATATTGGTGATGGACCTCATAGTTTTGAATCGCGGTCAAGCGACGAGGATGATACCTCAGTTCTGGCACCCCTTCTCCACAAACTGACACATCAAGTCAACGGGAGGACTTTGAGCCTCGACAGATTTAAAGTGCATCTGCCTCAACTCAGCGGGTGTTCGTTGAGATAAGGGCTTGAACTCGTGGTCATGGTGACCACGAGTTCATGACCATGGCTACTAGGCTACCGTGTCTTTTGAATTAGTCTATCAATTCGTTGATTTGGTAATTTTTTTACATTAATTTTAAATAAATAATTTAACTTATATATGTTTGTGTTGATAAGAAAGACTGAAACTTTGATTTTAATTTTTCAGCTTTCTTATTGTTGTAGATTCATATGCCTGAAACGAGAATTTATTAAAGAGATGACCCCTGTATTATTCTGTATATTCATATCTTGTTAAATACTGACATTTTTAATTTTAATATGCTACCTCTTAAAAAAATAATAAGTATTCTGGTATATTCAAACACAGATAAATTAAAAAGTCTTCAGTTTTTTTTATAAATTATAACAGACGAGTTATTTTCTAAATTAAAATGTTTCTGAGGTTAAAATCTAGTTTATTATTTTTGTTTTAGATGATATTAATTTAGAACAAAATAAAGATAGGTTTAAATATAATTTAGAATTTGAATTAAAAATATTTTATGGAATTTAAGCGTTAACTTTGTAGAGTGAACTTGCATGTTTTAAAAGCAGAAAAAATAAATAGTTATATAAAAGTTTATTAAAAAAATAAAAGGCTAAGACGGTGAATTTACACAATTTTGTGTCTTCAAAAAAAATCGGTGATAGTAAAGGTATTTTTATACTTAAGAATAAAATACATTATTTGAGCTGCAAGAGCTCAGAATTAAATAAAAGCTACAATGCATATTAAAAGTTTATTTTTTTTTGTTTGATAGTGTAGGGAAGAGTTTTCAACTTCATTTCAGTAAAATAATATAAGTATTCAAATATAAAAATAATCTTCAAAATCAAAAACAGACCGATAACAATTTTAAAAAGAAGAAACAGTTTCCATTTTAAAGAAGTTTATTTAAATGCAACATACATACACATATATTTCTTCTAACGTTATGTACAACTTTTGACTTAGCTCAGTAGCGTAATTTGCTGTGAAAAGTATATGCAAACACAATCACATTTATTAACACATTGGATGAATTGAAACATTTCTTTTTAGTTTCTTGTGCAATAAGTGAAAGGAATATTGATTAAACATGAAAAAGTTTTATTTCACACACATATAAAATAATCTACTAAAGCTAAAGTGCACGAAGTCTTAAAATATTTTTCTCAAAAGCAATCAGTGAAAGTTATAAAAATTTTTTGAAACTGAATATGGTTATGTAAAATGAAAAAAAATATTGATACCAGCTTATACCTTTACCAAGTATCACAGACTGTTTTTTTATTGCATTTATCAGCAGCCTTCACGATAATCTTTATTTAAGTTTGACTCTACATCAACTCAACTCTACATCCAGGAAGAAAAAAATATTTCCACCCATTTTATGATCGCTACCTATGATTTGATATCTCATACCTTTTACACTTCAAATAACTCTGAGCAGTCTTTAATTTTTCTCTGAAAACATTTTTTTCATGCATGATATTTTTACCTTTATGTTCTTTTCACCTCTCTTCTCTTTTACACATAAAAAGCTACAAAAATTCACATCCACATTTTTACACAGTTTTACATTAAGTAAGCGCTTTAAAAAACGAAAATAAATAAATTAATTAATGAGTAATTTTTTAGTAATAATTAAAGAAATAAAAAGGGGATTTGGAATTTAGAATTATAAACAAATATAATTTAATTTAAAACAAACAAAAAAAAAATGAATTCGTTTCATATTAAGCAAATGAAAAAAATTTGTATTTTTGCTGTGTTAAGAATGTTTTTGATTGAATTTTTTTAATGATCCGTGTAATAAAAATTAATTCGAAAGAGTAAAATAAATAATTTTTGATAAAGATGAAAAGTAATATGAGCGGGAGTCAACACAACAGAGATAAAAAAATATAAAGAAAACTGAAATTTTTTAAAAAAAATTATATTATTATACAATTCTGGAAACCGTCCTGCAAAGTTTTTAGACGTATTTTTCACTTTTTCTGAAGGTAAGAGTAAACAGTTTATGGAAAACAGTCAAGAAATTATGACAGTATAGATACTAAAGTTACAATGTTATATCTGAATGCCATTAATGAAATGGTGTTAATGATTTAACACAAACAATTAAATAGTAAGTCAATGAAATTCATTTTTTTGTTATGCCTTCTATAATGATTTATGTCTGTGCGTTAAATTTGTTCCCTTGTACACTTCATTTTAATTAATTCTACCTTTTTTTTAAGAGTTCATTTACTTCTCATCAATTAAGCATTCAGTTTTCATTTATATATGAGTTAAAATTACCTCTAAAACATTTCGACAAAAGTGAAAAAAAAAAAAATCGAAAAGGAATTTTATTATTTCTTTATTATAAATTTCATAAAATATTTTGATTTAATACAATGCTGAAATTTAAATTTTTTTGGCTAATTGTATCTTTTATTCTAATTTTACGAAATAGCATAAAATTTTTTTTATAAGCTTTTACTTAGAACGTAAATGATCATTGTCAAGTATTTCTTATATGAGCTGAGTAAGAACAAAAACTAAAAAAAACCAAATATATATTTCCCATTTACATAAAAAGCACTTTTAAAAGCTATTTTTGCTCATTTTTAAATAAATAGTATCTATATCAAATGTATGTTGAAAGCTTTATACCTATAAGAAATGAACAGTTAAATATATTAATTATCAGTACAAAGTTTCCAAGTGAAAATGATCTCATTGGTCGAAATATGAAGGGTCAGGATTGAATCAAGGGTTTTCAAATAAAGAATTCTATCAGGACATTTACTCTCCGTTTGAAATTTAATTACAAAAAAATAATAAGTTAATTATAATTGAGAAGTAAAAACCCGCAAAAGTCTTGCATCAAACGACAAAGTACTTGAATTTTGATCACCTAAACACAGAAGTGGCAAAGAAGCTTGGCCATTACATTATCACGAATTGAACATAGTTATATAAGATCTCTGATGAAACAAGATTTCAATGGAAATCTAGTAGTTATACAAGCATCACAATTATTTATTTACAGGTAATAGCCACCAATATTTAACACTTATATATGAGTATCCCGTTATGTCTTTTCTTCGTAAACACTGAACTGACTTTGGACATCATTTGTTATTCTTAACATGTATATAATACCATGCAAATTTTTACACACTTTGGAAATAAAAATTCCGTTGATCCATTTTATAAAAGCATCAAAAAGGTTAGAAAGAAAACGGAAACACTGAAATTCATCCCTCGAGTTTCTCCACCTATTAAAAAAAATAATTAGTATGAATTATTTTAAGAATTTATATACTAGGAAGATATGCATTATTATTTATTTTTTATACAAACAACAAACTTAAAATTTAAAAAAGTGACTGAACACCAAAAAATAAAAAATATTCGCTTTATATTTTTTTTCTCACACTAGTCGATGATACCTTCTTTTTTATTACGTAAGTTTGTTTTGCTCGTGTATTTAGTCTAATTCCTTCATATTGAAAACTTTATGAAATGAAAATAAATCTCGATATTTTTTAAATTTATTGAAGTTTATTTTTTGTTTTAGTAACTGCAAGGGAATTTCAGATAACAGTATGCTTTTTTAGAAATACAAATTATAAATTAAATAAAAGATAGCTTAAACACTTATTAACTTACCTTTTAGTTTCAAAAGCCATTAGAAATATACAAAATAAAATAATTAAAAAAAAAAAGAGATACTTACCCGATTTGCGGTCTTTTGGGATATTGGAGACTCTTTTCACGGTAAAGGGATCTGTAAAGGCAAAATTTTGATTTTTCGAAAATTTCTATGAAGCATTAAATTTTAATAAATATTTTACTTCTACAGTAATAATTTATTGAGGATATTTATTATTTATTTCTATACATTCTAAGGTATATTTTTGACTTTTCAACTTTATTTCATCTATGCCCCAATATGTTTTTCATTACTTTTATCTGATGCATGTTTTTTGAATTACCGACAATTATCATATACTTTATGTGCATAAAAAAATCGCCTAACAATCTATCCGATTTTTGTTGCTCTGTGTCGGATGTTAGAATTTAATATCTGCTCTCTGTTAGCAGCGTAATTAGCCTTTATTAGTTATTACTAAT